GGCTCTTCTAAACAATCTTTTCATTTCCTGTGGTGAAGACAAATGTAAACATGATGTAATGATACTTCACATTCTCTGTCTTGTAGAAACTCTTCAGGTAAAATGACAGCCACACAAATATTATCACTTCCTCCAATCTCAGTGAGGGGAATATCAAAGCTTAAGAGAGACTATACACACACAAACATTAGGGCAGCCCCTGCCAAGCCAGATCAAATATCAGTTTCCTACCAAAATAGAAATCAGTGATGTCAATTCTAGGCATTTTCTTAGTCCAACTGGTGAGTTCACAGACAAGATTAGCAAACGTATGGAGGCACTTTCTTCCAAGAAACTCTTAACAGCATACTTTGTATCCCTGTTAGAGCCAGAAAAACATAGATCTGGAAAAAAAATGCCTGCAGGAATAAGAAAGAAGTAGCTAGCTGACACTTTGTAGATGAATGAATAGGAGGTGAGAAACATGATCTGGGATGTAGTAGGTATCAAAAAAAGAGTAAAACTAATCATTGAAGCAATTTGCCAATTTTCATTTTTAATCAAAATGTATGTATTCTTGAAATATTATCAGTGATCAGCAAGCCAAAATTTCCCAAACTTGTTTTTTTAACCTAGAACCATAGAATCACAGAACAGTTTGGGTTGGAGGGGACCTTTCAAGGTCATCTAGTCCAACCCTATGCAATGAGCAGGGACATCTTCAACTAGATCAGGTTGCTCAGAGCCCCGTTCAACCTGACCTGGAATGGTGCCAGGGATGGGGCATCTACCACCTCTCTGGGCACCTGGGCCAGTGGTTCACCACCCTCGGTGGGAAAAATGTCTTCTTTGTAACTAGTCTAAATCTGCCCTCTTTTGCTTTAAAACCATTACCCTTTGTCCTATTGCAACAGGCCCTGCGAAAAACTCTGTCCCCATCTTTCCTACAAGCCCCCTTTAAGTACTGGCAGCCTGCAATAAGGTTTTCCTGGAGCTTTTTCTGCCCCAGGCTGAACAACCCCAACTCTCTCAGCCTGTCCTCACAGCAGAGCTGTTCCATCCCTCTGACCATTTTGGTGGCCTCCTCTGGACCTGCTCCACAGGTTCAGGGTTTTTTTTTGTTTGGTTGGGTTTTTTAGCTTCTGGACACCCATGAAATGGAGAGACATGATTGCTGTTCCAAGAACTCACAATCTAAGTATTAGACCTTATAAAGGACTGGAATAAGCTAACTGAAACTCACAACATTTGAGGGAAAGCTATGAATAAAAATATTTGTATAATTTAGTAGTTATCATGGGCTCAGTTAACTTACCACAATCGGTGCTGTGTTTACAGGGACATCTTCTTTTATAATATAAATCAGCATACTTATAGCTTATATACTGAGGATCTACCTCACACCATGTGAAACCTTATAAAATTTACATATTCTTATACCTTTTCTGATTTTCCCTAAATACTTTGGTCTCTTTCTCTATTTCTAGTAATGTTAGCCAGGTTATTTCTTCTCTCCTCGGTAGGAACTGTGAAGCTACAGTGAATTATGCTGTCAGTAAAACCGTAAATTGTTGCAGAAAGATCCAACTTCTCCTTTGCTAGTTATCAGCCAAGAAAAGATACAGCTATTTGTTTCTTTAATGCTTTTATGTACATTATTGTCAGGCTGACTGACAGTAACAAAGATAAAACAACAAAGAAAAGATAAACAACAAGAAACAGAAAATAAAGGAAATAGTATAAACGCTACTGGGAGCTCCAATGGGCCACAGTCTAACAGTGACAATGACGAATATGATAACCAGAACACAAATGAGTTCCAAAGAATTCTTCCTTGTTGTTCACACTTGCATTCATCTACTTGATTTGGGTAGTTTGCATAACTGGAAGGTAATTTGCATGTTAAAAAACATGAGAAAATGCTTTGATTGCAGTGTGTGTGTCTCCATGCACGTGCTAGTCTGGGAAAGTCAGAAGTATGATAATGAAGTAACATTTTGAAGTCTGTGCACAAATAATGAATAAATAAAGTAACAGAGAGAAAGCAAGTGAGAGTCCTCCTTTTCAGGGGGTTGTTCTTTTTAAGAATTCTTGACGAATGTAACTCCAATTCATAAAACATTGGATACACAATGAAGTCACACTTTTTAGATTATATTAATCCATCTTTTGAATAAGATACACAACCAAAGCCTTGGCCAGGAAGGATTATTAAAGATTCCATAACTAATTTCCTAAGTGATACTTTTTTATTATAGAAGATGGTTGGAGAAAGCTTTTGCAAAGAGGGCTCAGAGGCCCTGAAAAAGACACCCCACCCTACCCGGTGTACTAAAGAAGAAAACTTGGTAGAAAACAGTTTAAATGTGGCAAAATGAAAAATGGAACATTCATTTTGATAGCAACATTTTTAAATAAAAATCATACAGTCTCAAGAGTTTTCAGAAAATTCAGAAGGTAGCAGAAATTACGACCAGTCAGGTAGGCTCTGAGAGGGCATGCTCCATTACGTGGTACAAAACTCCATTTATTTCAGAATGGTTTTCCTTTCTAAGAATAAATTTACACAAAACATAAATGTTATTTTATTATTCTACAGAAGCCAACAAAAGCATACAGGGATTTTGTTAACAGAAAGAAGTGGGGCATCAAGGTGCATTACTTTTCCTAAAAGGGATATATTTGAGGCGGCTTTCTGAGTACTTTAAAGTTGATGGGTGTGTTCCCATCAATACTCCCAAACGACAGGGATGAAGAAGGAAAAAGAATAGAGAAGATTTCCTTCAGCTTTGGTAACCAGGGAGAAAGGTAAAAGATACCTAAAATCTCACAATATTTATGTATCTAACTCACAGTTCAGGTATGGCAATAGTATCTTCAACATAAGTTCACTTTAGAATAAGTCTCAATCAGTTTACTGGGATTTTTCATCTTGGTTTGTAAATCTCTTATCTGTAGGTGGTACAAGGGAGAACTGATGACTCTAATAGCATATAAACCATTGCTGAATTTCAATCCTGTAAAATACAAACCCAGTTAATTTCTTACAATGAATGCTGGAAAATGGGTACTGAATGACAAATCTAAGGTACCATGCCTATGGAAAAAAGCCAACAGATGTTCACCATTAAGTAATACGCTTGGCAGCAGTTGCCAGTCAGCGTATCTGTTACCAGTAGTGTGGCATAATGAATGCAGGGATTTCTTACAGACAAATCCATGAGAAACCCACGTTTCATTAGTTTTGCTTCTCAGAGAGCAACTTGTTAAAAGAATCTAGAGTGTTAACCATATCTTCCCCTTCAATAAGTTGCTCAGCTACAAAAGACTAATAAAAGAGTAAGTGCACACAGCAGGGCATAGGAACAGTTCCTAACTAGATTCAAAACCCTCCGCCCTGCATCTTTTCTTAGGCTACATCAAATTAATTTTATACACAGCACAAAGCACAGGATCATAGAGTGGTTTGGGCTGGAAGGGACCTTGGAAGGTCATTATGGCTAGGGACACCTTCCACTACATTAGGTTGCTCAGAGCCCCGTCCAAGCTGGCCCTTGAACACTTTCAGGGACGGGGCATCCACAACTTCTCTGGGCACCCCGTTCCACTGCCTCACTACCCTCATTGGGAAAAATTTCTTCCTTGTATCTGGTTTAAATCTGCCCTCTTTTGGTTTAAAACTCTTACCCTTTGTCCTATTGCAACAGGCCCTGCGATAAACTCTGTCCCCATCTTTCATAGAAGCCCTGTTTAAGTACTGGAAGGCTGCAAGAAGGTCTCCCTGGAGCCTTCTCTTCTGCAGGCTGAACAACCCCAACTCTCTCAGCCTGTCCTCACAGCAGAGCTATTCCAGCCCTCTGAGCATTTTGGTGGCCTCCTCTGGACCCGCTCCAACAGGTCCATGTCTTTCCTGTGCTGGGGGCTCCAGAGTTGGACGCAGCACTGCAGGTGAGGTCTCCCCAGGGCAGAGTAGAGGGGCAGAATCACCTCCCTCAACCTGCTGGCCAAGCTGCTTTGGATGCAGCCCAGGAGACGGTTGGCCTTCTGGGCTGTGAGCACCCATTGCCAGCTCACGTCCAATTTTTCAGAACAGACAATACAGTACTTAACTCTTCCTAACTCCTCAAAAATCTGCTCCTCTGGCCCCAGAGAACTCGGATTTGGGCTTCATGCAATTCAGGTAAGACATGCCTCATGATTCTGATTAAATCCTACTTTCTGTTAAGTCACACTGGAAGAATTCTTTCTTATCTTGTATGGCCACATTAATCTATTCTTTTAATTTTTGAGTTACTGCAAGTTGTCACCATTATGTTTGCACAACATAATTTGATGTTTAAAATCTCAGTAAATTGCCCCAGCTGCTTATCAGAGACAGCACTGTGGGCCCAAGTGTTCATTTAGGCAGCTAAGCCAGACTAAGTCTGTATGATGCCTATAATGTGACTCACCACAGACTCTCTAAAGAGAGAAATAACTACTGTGCTGCAAACGTAATCAGGACTGCAGATTATTTCCTTTGTTGCCTTGCAACAGTCAATACTGATTCCTTAGAGGGGAAATAGATCTTTGCATTTGGGTCCTGTTCATTGCAACTATCATTCCAAATGGCTGGACTTACTTGCATATAATGAGCAACAACAAAGGTAAGATGCAAGTCATACGTTCATGTATAACGTCGCCTTACCTTTCCAAATATACCTATTTCAAAAGGTCTCAGCATGTCCTACCTTCCCTACGATGCAGCTCAATATAAACTGGTGGAAGTTTTATTTCACAAGTAAAAATATCTTGAGATATTATTTTTAAGAACAGAAGGAAACTTAAAGTCACCTATGCAGTAAGACTGGAAAAACTGATTTGGTAAAACTTTGGATTATTATTGACACAGATGAAGAAAAAAGATACAGCACATTCTCAAACAGTAGTTTAAAGGCATATGGATTTAAGTATAACACAGCCTAAAAGAATCCTGTGATTCTTAAGGAGAATAGTATCTCAAGCAGAGATAAAGTGCATGCAGGCCATTCAAATTTTTACAAGATGTCTTTCAAAGAGCTGTATGACTACTTAATCCATTTTCTCTTCTTGGAAACTGTCTGCATCATTCATGTAGTCTTCAAGATCATTATATCTCTGCAAATAAAATAAAACCTGTATTATTTTATCAATGTTTAATAACTTAACTACATAAAGACTGCTTTTCCTTTTTCTTCGATACATTAATAAGCACACCAATAACAATTCAGAAGCAATGATATCTGAAAGCTTGCTAAATGCAATTAGAAGTGCCACATCTACATGTCATTTAAATACCTCCAGGGATGGTGACTCCACCACTTCCCTAGGCAGCCTGTTCCAATGCTTGATAACCCTTTCGGTGAAGAAATTTTTCCTAATATCCAATCTAAACCTCCCCTGGTGCAAACCGAGGCCATTTCCTCTTGTCCTATCGCTTGCTACTTGGAAGAAGAGACCAAAACCCACCTCGCTGCAACCTCCTTTCAGGTAGCTGTAGAGAGCGATAAGGTCTTCCCTCAGGCTCCTCCAGACTGAACAACCCCAGTTCCCTCAGCCGCTCCTCATAAGACTTGTTCTCCAGACCCCTCACCAGCTTCGCTGCCCTTCTCTGGACACACTCCAGCAACTCAGTGTCTTTCTTGCAGTGAGGGGCCCAAAACTGAACACAGGATTCGAGGTGCGGCCTCACCAGTGCCGACTACAGGGGGACGATCACTTCCCTACCCCTGCTGGCCAATTGTCTTAAAATAGTTCATATAAGTTGTACAAATCGTCTTAAACATCTCAAAACAGTTCGTGTTTCTGAATAATTCAAAGTAGTTCAGCGTAAACAGAAGAGTGTAGTATTCTTGCTGTGCCTCACGTACTTGTTTCCAGTCTTTCTAAGTTACAGCTTGAGTTTGTTGTGTTGCTGCTTTCAAATGAAAGAGGAACCTGCCCACCACGGTGCAGAGATCACGCAGCTGTCAAAAAGCTTAATGTCAAAAGTTGACACAAACTCTGTGTGAACGCAGCAGCATACCACTGTTTGACAGATGGGGTCAGCAGAAGTGGATGAATGGTTAAGCTGAGTTATATTATTGAAGCCCAGTAATTCAGAACTGATCTATTTAAACCAGACATTTTATTTCAGCTTACTTTTATCTGCTTGGAAAAGGATATATCAAATAACTCAGTCATACCTTCTGAATCCACCCACTGTCTTCCAACTGGCTGAAAAGCCGTTCGACTGTGTCTTTGACTGGTTCATCCTCAACACCATCCGACTCTGTAATGGAGCTGCAATCCACATACAACTTGTATTTGAAGTGCTTCAAATTATGATAAACTCTTGTACGATTTGCACACACCATGCCAACCTTCAAAACCTAGGCCAAAGTGAACAAACCAATCACAATTCTATCAGAGAGATATCCTGACAATATAAAGAATAGCTAAGTCAGTCTAGTAAGATTTTACCGGTCAGTCTAGGAAGATTTTTTGAATGATGAAATAAACAGAATGACACTACATGCATAAAATCAGCGCAAAACCATGTAGTTTTCACAGCCACAGCAGAACAATTCTTGAGCAAGCAGGCAGCCAGCAAGTCTATGCAATGGCAGCTTAACAGTACTGTTTTCTTGCAAACATAAGCATGTTTAGAATCAGTAGTATCTTTCCTATCTCCTTGTGGAACTTTGTTACTAGATCACTAACATTTTAGACAACCATCATATTGTAAAAGCTGAGGAAGAGAAATTATTTAATTGCTTTTGCTTAATATATAGTACTTTCTAGGGACAAGAAACACCAGTTCTACCGTTTTGTAGACTGAATAATAATCAATATTTCTTCAAGAAGTACATATGAATACAAATAGACATATGTCTAGAAACATATATTTAATAAATATATATAGAGAGATTTGACTTCATAAAAATAAAATCTGAAAACTGAGGTTTTATAATAACGCAAACATTAATATGCAACTGTCTGGGAGATATAATGCTGTAGAAATCAAAGCCTCTGCATCTCCCGGTTATTAGCAGTTTTACTTTTACAATTTCCATGCAGAAAAGACAGAACTGTCTTATTTAAAAGTTTTCTTTACAGCAGTATTTATAGATAAACAAATGGTAAATACACATGGGAATACATCATCAAAGCACAGATTAGAGTAGATTCATTATCATCTATCAGCACTAACATTAAACACAGGCAAGTATTTGTGTGTATCTTGAACTCAGATTTTATATAAAGATGTTTTTACCTGAAAAAAATGAGTAATACTTTGGTTACAAGAATTTTTGGCAATCCTAAATCTTCACTAAGAGTACGTGAAATTGGAGGTGTGGGGAGGGAGAAAGAGGCAAAGTTCATCTGCATTTAAGGATGTCCTGTGTTTCACAAGAGTAATTTTTGTTCCATTTCTACAAGGGAAGTAGTTCAAGTACATACAATGACAAATCAGAATAGGAATCTATCCCCTGTAAATAACCCACTGGTGCACCAATTATGACTCCAACCCATGGAGACAAAGCCTATCAGGTAAGAAATCTACATCTGGCTGGTTTTCAGAGGTCAGGTTTTCTACTCTCAAAAACAACATAATTAATGCACGTGTACAGAAAATGAGTTCCTGATACATACAGGAGAAACTGATTTAGCTTTACTGAAAAATAAAAAAACACACCATCAACTAGTCCTTCAAGGACAGCACTGTTTTGTACTGATGTCTTGTCACACCTTTGAGTAACAAGCAGGTAAATGGCTAAAGGTCAAAGTTCTTTACATCAGTAATGCAAGCTGCAGTTGTATTGTTATAGGTAATTGAAAAAGACCTTTACAATCATCAAGTCCAACCATCAACCCAACACCACCAAGCCCACTAAACCATGTCCCAAAGTGCCATATCCACACGTTTTTTTGAACAGCTCCAGTGATGGTGACTCCACCATTTCCCTGAGCAGCCTGTTCCAATGCTTGACCACTCTTTCAGTAAAGAAATTTTTCCTAATATCTAGACTAAACCTCCCCTGGCGCAACTTGAGGCCATTTCCTCTCGTTCTATCAAGCATTTTAACAATCCTGAGATAAAAAAAATTCCTATTACTATATTGCAATTCCCTGATCATGTATATGTACCTATACACAGCTCCATTTTCTACTTTCCCCAAAAGTGAAAAGCTAAGGCTTGTGTTTGGTGCTATATGTGCTTCTGAATGGCAAGACCTACCAACCAATGCATAACTTTGATGTATTCAAATTTCCAGAGGTACCATTTCAAATACTGCAACAATCAACAGAGCTGTGGTGTCTCCTAGAGCATTTCATAACTTTTCAAGTATCCCAAGCAATGAGGTGTGGCATCTGGAGCATTATGTGATGTAAAATAGGAGATCGCATTCTGCCTCAAACTGATGGCCCAATTCTTCCCCTGTGACAACAGCTAACAGGAAGATAGGAAGTTAGTATAAGATGCAGGATGAACACCAGAATGATCATAACATTACCATAAAGCTTCTAAGCAGTCAACAGTTCAGACAGTCTGTATCATCCCAACTATCATGTTCTATAGCGTGGAAGAAGCTTCCCCAAGAACCTGTCTAATCCCTTAGGACCCGCTAACACTTCTTCCTTCCAAAGTATCTTGAAGATCTGCTGGAAATGAGTTTCATAGTTCATTTATGTCTGAGGTGTAGAGTATTTCTACATTGGAGAAATGCCAGAGGCAAATAGCTAAATATCATATAATGTAATTATGTATTGTGTTTTTTAAGCAAGAGAGGTTGTCTAAAAATACAACACTATTTCAGAATGCAGCTTTGGAAAGAATCTCAGTACTGTATTCATTCCAATTTTTTTCTCTCACAGTTCTCAGTGACTCTGTCCTAACGCTTAACTTATCTACTCAAGCTGGCCGTATCAGCCAAAGTTGTGTTAAGTCACTTTGTATGGAATGCAGGAGCATAGCCTGACAATAGCACAACATGTAGTGACTGAATCCATGTCCTCTAAGCATGACAGTAAACGGAAGTAGAACACCAAGACTGAGCATAGAAAACAGTTTATAAACCAGGTGACACAGGATCAAAGAAATGTAGTGGACACCTATACTTCTAAACCGTTCGAGTAATGAGAACTGCCAACTACACACAAAACAATTGCTGCAAGCCTAAGCAAAACTGGAACAGCTGTTTCTCTTCTCTTTCTACTGGCAAAGCAGAATACTTCAGAGGTGGAGAAAAGGAAAGTTTTATGCAGAAGAGGAGGGTTGGAGGTCTGTTTTTGTTCTCTCCACATCCACTTTTCTGGGGTATTTGCAAATAAAACTTGAGAAAATAGTCCAACTATGTGTTTCCATTCAGTCTGATTCGCCAGTCCTGAACTGCCTTCTCTTTCAGTCAATTAAGTTCTTGAAGAGCCAGTTTTATGTAGCTCTGTGTCCCTTTTTTCTTTTTTCCTCCTTTCTTTTTTCTCAGTTGGAAGGACAAGTTGATCAATGCATTGTCAGCAGAACTTCAAAAGACTACTTCAGAACAGTACCTTAGCAGTCTAAATTACAGGTCACCATAAGAACACAAATGTTGCATTACAAATGCACTATCAAAAATTAATGGAAAGTGCTCAGTAACTCTCTCTCCTGGGTCTGTTCTACAGACCCTAAGCTATATTGAGCATGCACATGGCAGGCATCTCACCAGATACTGGGGTCCAAAGGGTATAAAAAGCTCTCACTTTTTACTGTTAATCTGAAGAGGACAAAAATGAACTAGCAAGTTAGTTCAATATCCAGTAGGATATTTAAAGTTTTTTCCAAAGTGGAAAATAGCCAATGCTTCAGGTAGGACAACGTTTGCACAGCAGTGAGGGAATTTCTACTATTGTTTCCACAGTTAAGTTGGAATTTGAGGAAAGATTAAATTCTTGTGCTACTTATTATTTCTGGTGAGGTAAGGCACTCACTTCCCATGGAAAACTGAAAAGTTTTAAATCAGTGATCTACATTTAGAGACCCATATGTAAGGAATAATAATGACTGTATGATGGACCGCAGTATCAGTGCTAGTGTGATTGCCAGGGACTTACTGTTTCCCTGCAATAAACAATGGGAAAAGCCTTGCTCTCTTGATTATCATGCACATAGGGACTTATCAAAACAGAGTATTAACAACTGCTGCTCAGAGGGGTCTGTAATGTATTTAAGAAAAACTGTGGCACAGATTGTCCTAGATTCTGCATTACATGCAGAGCCCAATATGATGACACAATGATAATCCCACCGATGCCCCTCAGATCTCCAAGTTAGAATATTTACAAAGATCCAAACAACATAAGCTTGAGTTTCAGTAAGGTATACTTCCAGTTTGATGAGGGCTTCACTTTGTTTTTCTATAAGAAATCTTATTATACCCCATTTCAAAACACAGTGTAAATACATCTTGTCCTGACACTTTTTTATTTTCAGCAAATACTGTGAGGAACTCCAGCTGTATTAAAAAATTCTTTTACACTCACAAAGGAATATATCTTTATATTGTTATATCTCCTGAAAGGGAAGAAAAGCTGAACTTGGATATCAGCTTGGTATACAACTGTAGCAGTATTTTGTTCTTGACAAATCGTGTGCTTTGAGTTTATTGTAAGAGGTCATGAATTACATTACTTAAGAAGGTCACATGCATACCTAATCATCACAATTACTGGTAGCTGTAAATCTGAAGGGAAGATCCCTAAATATTAGGAACACTCAGGTTCTTAAGAGTCAAGGTCTTCAAAGGTCTCAGCTGTGAAATATAACAGAACCGACCACTCAAGGCCTCTAAAAAGACTGCCTAGTGCAACATCATGTAACATGAAAGATGTGTTTAATTAAAAAAAAAAACAACCCGAAGTATCTTAGTAGAGATAACTGAGTGAGAGAAGGATGCAAGACTACCTAAATGCAAATGCTTTCTAGTTCGGACAAGTAATTCTGATAATGCAGTAATGAAGAAAAGGCTCTAATAAAATGTATTGAAATAGTTAGGAACAAGTGTTCTCAAAAAGAGATCAGCAATTTCAACTGTCAATGCAACCGAGATATCAAGATACTTCGCCCTGGGTGAACAGCTACATGGGAAATAGCAGATGTGAAAAAACCTGAAGAATGAAGCAGTAAATTCTGACTAGGCTGCACTTGGACTATTAGAATGACAGTGGCACTATTTCACTCAACGTTCTGACTTAGAGCAATGTCCCGGTTTCAGCCAGGGTAGAGCTGGTTTTCTTCACAGAAGCCAGTGTGAGGCTGTGTTTTGGATTTGGGATGAGAAACTGTTGATAATGTGCTGATGTTTTCGGTTGTTGCTGAGCAGTCAAGGACAGTCCAGCTCCTTGTGCTGGCCTGCTACCAAGAAGGCTGGGGGTGCGGGGGGAGCGGGGAGGGGACACAGCCAGGACAGCTGACCCAGCCTGGCCAGAGGGATATTCCATACCATACGACGTCATGCCCAGTACATAAACTGGAGTTGGCCGGGGGGCAGGAATCGCTGCTCGGGGACGGGCTGTCGATCGCCAGGTGGTGAGCAATTGCTGTGTTGGGCATCACTTGTTCTTGTACATTCCTTTGTTGGTATTATCATTGTTGTTTCTTTCTCTCTTTCTGTCCTATTAAAATGTGTTTATTTCAATTCCACGAGTTTTTTTTCTAATTCTCTCCCCTGTCCCACTGCGGGAGGGGGAGTGAGTGAGCGGCTGCGTGGTGCTTAGTTGCGAGCTGGGGCTAAACCACAACAAGCAAACAAAAACAGTTGGAGCACACAGGGATGCTCCAAATGCTAGAGGCATAGTAGGCACAGAATTAGCAAACCTAGTGACCCAATGTGGAACAAACCTTACTTGCAACAAAATAGAAAATGGAATCATTCAGCAGAGATGACTGCCCATTATACAGAAAGTTACTTTTATAA